CCCTACACCCAAACCCTAAACCCTCAAACCCTAAACCCTATACCCTAAACCCAAACCCTCAACCCTAGGGCCCGCAGACTGCAGGAGTCTTCAACTCCCTAGGCTTTCCTTCAGCAGCTTCCCTAGCCTCTACCATGAAAAGCCTCTCTGCTGTCAACATCACAGAGCTCAAACCCGTTGCCTAAACCTTTTATATAGTTAGTTCTAGACGCTTGAGGATTATGAAGGAAGGCATCTCCCTTCATTGAGGGGCATTCTGTCAGGCTCACAGCATCTGAGACCCCGGCGTAGGACGGAGGGATGTCGTTGCCCACCAGCTTGTTCACAAAGACGATGCCGTCCTCGCCCCCACGCACCGCTAGAAGCGTAGGGTTCAGGGTTCCGTAGGCCCCAAAAATGTAATTCTCCCAGGATCTAAGACCTCTTCAGAGCACAGCTCTAAACCCCGAAAGCCCAGAGACCCCAAAGCCAAAACCTTCATGCAAAGCCCTGAGGAATATTCCTTGGTAGGGTCTCGTTCTGAACTGTGGGCCGGTTAGCACGTAATCCGTTCTCCGCGGGGCTATACCACGCTGGCAACTGGTTTAGGGTTTAATTAGGGGTTTAGGGGTATTAGGGGTTTAGGGGGATTAGGGGTTTAGGGCAGTTGCTGCTATTGCGCGAAGCCCTGCTACACATTGCGGGTGTCTGCAACTGGACATGGCAATGGTTGCCGGTAACCCTTATCCCTTAACCCCTACAACCCAGAGACTCCAAAACCCCTTAATTAAGGAGTATACCTTGAACTATAATAGGAACCCTAATATGATTTAAGGTATATTCCTTAATTAAGGGGTTTTGGAGTCTCTGGGAAGGCTCTACCCCCCAAGTCGCTGCACCATGCCGAGCCCAAAAAATCCGGGCAGCTCTGCGCTGAAAGAGGTCGGGCTGCTCCGGCATTTGTATCGCCCACCTTTCGCGGAAGAAAGAAGAGCACTTCATAAAAGCTATATCTAATATACCATATTTTAATATGTTATAGTATAATATATATGTATTTGTATATATATATATATACTTATAGTATAATTATAGTATATTACAGTAACAGTGCCAAATTGACCTTCTTGCTTTCGCCCGGCTGCACGAGCACCAGATGAGCCGGACGAAGCGGCCACGACTCAATGACATCCTTCCCTAACCTAACCACCCGGGTACCTGCTATATGAGGTGCTAGAGCCCCTAGCGTTTAGGGTTTAGGGTTTCAGGGTTTCAGGGTTTAGGGTTTCAGGGTTTAGGGTTTGGGGCCCCTATATAGTAGGTACCTGGAGGGTTAGGGCTTGTTGTTGCGGCTGTCCAAGCCGTGCCGCTCCCATGGTTTCACCGCTCAAACTCTCGCACACAGGCTAAGGGTTAGGGCTTTAGGGTTTAGGGTATAGGGCTTTAGGGACTTCTGTCAGTTTAGACGTGCCGGCTTCTTTTCAGTCCCTCCGCCTAGCGATCGACTAAGTTATACCTAATGTCTCAGGCCTCTATGCATGTCAGACCCCTTTGAGTCCTTAACTCGATGGGTCCAGGTAGATGGGTCAACAACTCCCCGGAAGAGATGGGAAGTTACTACCCTAAACACCCTAAACCCTAAACCCAAAGCCCCAAACCCTAAACCCCAAACCCTAAACCCTAAATCCAAAGCCCTGAACCCCAAACCCTAAAGCCCAAAGCCCTAAGCCCATGAATCCGAATTTGTTGTACCTTTGGAAGCTTCCGGGTCCCTGAGCGCCAAAAGGAGTCCCCGGATCCCGGAAATCCTAAGCCGCTTATAGGGCTTAGGGTTTAGGGTTTGGGGCTTTAGGGTTTAGGGCTTTAGGGTTTAGGGGTTTAGGGTTTTGGGGTTTAGGGCCCAAGCCCAAATTCCACCCCCCTCCCTTCTTTCTGTCCTTTGCTTCATGGCGATCCTCTTCGGGGACTGGCTCGAAATAGCCGATCACCTGACTCGAGCGTAGGGCTTTTAGCTCAGTCTGAGGGCTTTGCCGCTTTGCGTCTTTCGCCGCAACTGCCGGTCATGACTTTCGATTTTCATAGCGAGATAACCTATTGTACCAGTGGCTGGGCTTCTAGGGTTTGCCTGCTTCTAACAACGGGATCTATATGGGTATTATAAAGGTTTGTACAGGGTTCTATATATATATATAATTAATATATATGTGTAAATATATATATTATATAATATATATATATACATATATATATATACATATATAGATAGATGTATATATATATATAGATAGATAGATAGATAGATAGATAGGGTCCCTTTTAGGTGCAGATCGCTCAGTCTCCAGATTCCAGGCTCTGGCGCTTAGGGTTGCGGAGGCGGGGGCTGCAATAGTGGATGCAGTTGTTGCTATGTATATCTATATGTATATCTATATGTATATATA